TGGGGGGATTAGGAGATCTCTGAGTAAATACTTCTCTGCCTTCATTTCCCATGATTCTGTAATTGTTTCAGATGTCTCTACTTTTGGGGCACCTTCCACATAGATGCTTTGACTTCCTGCCTTTGTTTTGGATAAGCTCTTGTTTTTTCTTGATATGTTCATTCTCTGATGTAACTAATGATTTTAAGATTATTCTTGAAGATTTAATTTAGGAGAAAATTTCTTTGTGAAACCTTTCCTGACCACCCACCACCTATATCCTCCCCCCTTTCCTTAGTTACCTCCTCCTGTGCTCCCTTGGCACCTTCCATACCTAAGATATCACCCTTACTACTTTGCCCCATAATTATTGCTTACAAATCATTTCTGGACTATGGACTTATCACAATGCTTACCAAAGGTAGGCACTAAAGAAATATTTAAGTATATGGAAAAACTTAGATTTTCAAGTCAGAAAAACCTGAGTTCAAATTCCAGGTCTGCCACTTACCGGCAGTATGAGAGTGAACAAATTAATTTCGTATAGTCTCAGTTTACTACTGATCTGTATATGCAGTGACATGGAGGGGAGTTGAATACCAAACAAGATAGTGTACTTATTATGTTGCCTAGTAGGTAGCTGTTCAATACATGTTCCATTCTCCTATTAATTTGGTTTAACAGTTTTTGCTTTGCTTTTTTTCTCTTTAAACTTTAATTTGTAACAAGAAAGTAGTTTTTATCTGAGATCTCTCCTTTTGTGCTCTGTGATAAGACTAGATGATAAGTTATATCACTCCTGCTGCTAAGAAACATTATTTACAAATTTCTCATAGCACTTTCTGAGTTGAAAGCTTTTTAGAAGAAGGGATTCTTTACTCTTCAAAAGAAGTCCAGTGACTAGCACAATGCCAGGCATAAAATGTTTGTGAAATAAGTATTTTTAATAAATATTTGTATAATAAATATTTGTGGAAGGAATTTATAATATATATTTGCAAAATAAATATTTGTAAAACACATATTTGTGGAAGGGAGCTATAGTGGGAAAGACTATCTCCCCTTCCTTGTTCTGGGGAGAAGATCCATTGATTTCTTGCTAGAGCACAGACATGCCAAAATCACAGGAAGAGAGAACCAGAAGCTGACAGGGGTTTCCTTCCTTAGCTTTTCCTTGAGGACAGGCTGAGGGGGCAGAGATGGCCTCTTTCACTAAACAATGAAGCCACTTATGAATTGGTTCCCTGGATAATTATTTTGTCAGGGAAAAGGGCAACAAGTTGCATAAAGGTGGTTTTCATAGTTGAAAAAAATTTTTTTTGGAAGTAGTCTGTAGTCTAGAAGTAGTAATACTTCTAGATATTAGGCTATTCTCAAGCAAGTTTCTACTCTAAGAAGTAATTGGAGAAAAGTGAGGATCTCTTTTGATTAACCCCAATTATGGCTGAAACCAATATGAACACAAGGTCATAACCTCAATTGCTGTAGAAAGTGCCAGGTTTTGGTATCTCATTTAGTTGTCATAACAATATTATAAAGTAAATATTACCATCCCCATTTTACATATGATTTGATTTTCGGAAATTTGAATTAGGGTCTAACTCCAAAGCTCAAAATCTAACCATTACTCTTTAGAGCTATGGTCAAAAGTCATTATTGGTCAGGAAGTTTTATAATTGTATATTTGGACTTAAATTACATCATAGATGCTTTTATAGAAAGGTTGTTTGGAAGTGATACTTTCATTGGAATTAAAAAGGGAAAGGCATACGTACCTGGCAGGGGAGATACCATGATCACAAAAAGGAAAAGTCAGCATCATTTTAGCTTACCCCTCTCAGCCCAAATAGAATTATATTTTTAAGAGAGCATGGAGAATTTTTGCTAATACCAGAATCATAGTGAGAAATTAGGAGGATCAGATTTTATAGAATTTAGTGTGACTCAGAAGGCATCAAAGACTTCACTGATCCGTTTAAAAAGTGAAAGTCAATACTAGCACTTTTTCTATTTTGATATAGGAAGACCATTATATTCTTGGAAACTTAGTTTTCTGAGTTCATCCAATAATATAAAACAGTGTCAGTAGACTTAGATCAGATATGTGCATTTATAATAGATACCTATTTCATCAAAATTGAAAATTTGATCCAGTATGCAGTTGCCTTCTTCAACTAACTTCTGTACCACTGTTGAAAATTCTTTTGCATTTTTTTTTTAATCTACACTCTCTGTTTCACCCTAACAGCTGAAGGCTTTGGAAATTATAGAGATGTTTGAAACTACTAAACCAGCCACTTCTAGCAGTAAAAGAAGCAACTTCTGCAGGATTTGGGAATTTCCATTTAAGGTCTTTATATATAGATGGATAGTGCTTTCTCTTTGACTGTGAGAATGATTATTCCTGATTCTTTTTCTGTTTGCTTTTCAATACATATGCTCAACAATCTTTCCATTTCTTCTGTTTCTTTAAGGAGTTGTTCTTTTTAACTTTGCATTCATTTTCATGCGTTGTTTTTGATAGCCCACAACGTGGATTCCTTTATGCATGTTGCTTGGGAGATATAACATGTTCTCATCTCATGTTCTCTCGTTTCTTTCAAAAATGCCTTATTTCTGGCATCTTCTCAATATTAAATGCTTTTCTTTTGCGTACACTGCTTGATGTTTTTGAGCCAGGGTGATTAGACATGTTTGGGATGTTGAATGAGTGCTTTTTTAATATAGAAAAGTTAACATTTACAAAAGCATAGCAAAACATGTTGTCGGATAACAAATGTTGAACCGAGGTAGTTGGTGTATGCTAGAGATGTGTGTGTGTTTGCATCTTGCTACAAGGCTTGGTTCAGCTGGATGCAGTTTCCTGCATTCATCTATTGTTTCTTGCAGATGAGATCACAAGCAAATGTGAAATGTGTATTTTAGTCAAATTGTTTTCTAATATAAATTGTGTTGAAACAAATTTGCAAACAGAATAGGTTATACTTTATAGGCTCTGTTAGTTTTAAAAGGCTAATCTGTAGTTCTAGGAAATTTTCTTGAATCTTTAAGTGATATTCCTTCTCTATTCTTTTGGTTTTTGAAACTATCCTTAAGATGTTACACCTTTTAAATAGCTATATTTTCTTTTCTTTCCTATTTTTCCCTCTTTGGTATTTTTTTCTAATTTCTGGAATATTTCTTCAACTTTACATTGTATTTATTCTAGCACATTTTCACTTGTGCTCTTGTACCAATTTTTCCATTTCTAAGAACTCTTTTTGGTGTTTTGAATGTTGTTGTCCTCTTCCCCTTTCTCCTTTTACTTTATACATGTAATTGTTTAGGATTTTTAAAGTTTCTTCAATTCCCTACACTGTCTCTGTTGCCTCCGCGTTCCTTTTAACCCCATGTTGGTTATATTAGAAGATTCTCTTTGTACTTTGTAGTCCAACTGGACAACTGTTACTTGTTTTTCAAAGCCCAGGGAAAGTCTTCTGCTTTTGGAAACAGCCCAGGCTTCTTCCTGCTAACCATCATTTTTTATGTACACCCAAATTATACCAAATATCATGTCTTCCTCCCCACCCCTCCCCACAATTGCCCCCAAGTCACTGAAAGCAGGGACTGTGTCTTATTCATCTTGATAATTTTAGTGCCAAGCCTAAAGTTCCTGGCCTTTCATGGGTGCTAAATTGATAAATAAATATGAACAAATAAAGAATGTGTGAAGGGCTAATATATGGAAAATGTTTTTTATTCTAGTTTATATCCTTCTAGCTAAGATGTATTAGTTTGACTATTTCTTTTATAATAGTTGGCAGCTGGTTTAAATATGAAAAAGTTACTCTAATTGTCATTGTAAATTTACATTTCCCACTCCATTGGCCTCACTCAAAACTTTATTATTTTACTATTATTAACTATGGAGATGGCCAGTGAGAGTGAAGATCTGTGGGAAATACTGTGATGTTTCCAAGGTTCTCAAAGTATATGCTGCTAAAGCCGTTCCATCCTGTTCTCACCGCAAGCCTGGGACGAAGCCTGCTTTCCATCTTTACAAGTGAGCATCGTTCTCTTTGGTCCGCTTGGACTTCCTCTGAGCCTTCTCACAGCTCTTGAGGGATCTTTAAGGAACTGCCAGGTTTTGGTCTCCACACAGTTTCCCAGCTGGTTTCTCTGTCTGTAAAATGGGCAGCTTTCAATGATTACTGAGGTTCCACTGAGATCTGCAGGAGGGATCTCTACTTTACTCTTCCAGCTCTAATATTCTTTGCTATATATTATGGATCTAGAATTCCTGGTGTGCTCTTGTAGAGCATACTAAATTGAATTAGAAGTTGATTTTATGTTCCATCCAGCAGTTAATTAGGTAAACCCTGGACAAAACACCTAATGTCCTTGAGCTTCCATTTCTAAACCTACAGAATCAGGAAATTAGAACTAAATGATCTTTAAATTCCTTTTCAGCTCTAAAATTCTGAATAGATCAGAGGATTAAAGAAACCCTCAGGCCTCATTTAAATTAACACTGAGCTGGTGTCCAGAGAGGCCATAATATGTAGAAACGTGTCCCTTGATCAGAGGCATTTATTATAAACACTGTGTTGTCCCCAACACACAAGTCAGCTTTTCCAATGTGTTGATGCTTACCTAAGCCTTGGACATTCCATAGCTCTGTAATATCCTTGAATTTATCTTCACCTTTGTATATATAACTGTTCAACTGAGCTTCATCTGATTGTTTTAAGGTCACCAAGAGACTGACTCTGATGGCCCTGTGTGGTTCTGTATGCATAAAAAAATGATTAGTCTGGTTGCTCCTGGCTCTTTTTTCAGTACTGCTTATCATTGTTGTTCTCTTCTGGAATTTAACATGAAAAAATTAGCTTAAAATAACAGTTATTTTTACAAAACAAGAAAAGAGCTCAAAGCATTTATTTTTCATAGCTATGCAAAAGTAAAATAGAAATGACATTCATTTTTGTTAGGAGACTTGCTTGCGGGAGGTTCTTGAAATAGAAAATCATAATCAGGACAACTTTTCACTTCTTCAGATGTTTTATATAGAATATCATTTGGCTTCTAAATCTGTGATGCCTTTTTTGTCCATAACTCCCAGTTTTCATAATCTACCACTATTAAGCAGAAGTGGTAATTTATGAAGCAGTTTGGCTTTGAAAAGCTTGTTATTTTCATGAAGATGAAAAGTAAAATAAGAATGTTAACCATTTGAATTCTGTTGCTTTAAAGGCATTGAAGAGTTGAGTCCCATGTTTTTCCAATAGCAGTAGTACCTCTTAAAGTCGTCTTTATACCATCTGTAAAAGAAAAAACAGGCTTTGGGTCTTTTTAGCATGTGAGTATTCTTTTGGAATATTTAACAACTTAAATAGTTGTTAAATAAGGCAAAGAAAATAGAACCAAATTTACTCTAATATAAAATACATTAACACATATAAAGATCAAATAGAATTAATAGAAAAAATATTAGCAGGGTTTTTTTCATTCTTCCTCCTCTACTACCTAGAGGCAGCCATTTTTTTCCTTTTTTTAAAGGTATAATATACTTACAGTAGTTTTCCTTTTTAGTATACAGTTTACATTTTGAAAAATCCATACGTGACTGGGTATGGATCACACCTGTAATCTCATTTGGGAGGCTGAGGTAGGAGAATTGCTTGAGGCCAGGAGGTTGAGACCAGCCTGAGCCACATAGCACGACCCCATCTCTGTAAAAAAAATTTTTTTTTTAAAATTTGCTGGATGTGGTGATGCATCTGTAGTCCTAAGTACTCAGGAGTCTGAGGCAGGAGGATTGCTGGAGCCAAGGAATTCCATATAGTGAGCTATGATCAAGCCATTGCATTCTAGCTTGGGTAACAAGGGGGAGGGAGGGGGGAGGGAGGAGAGAAGAAGAGGGGGGGAGAGAGGGGAGGAGAAGGGGAGAGGGAGAGAGAGAGAGAAAGAGAAAGAAAAGGAAAGGAAAGGAAAGGAAAGGAAGAAAGAAATATTGGATATACTACCACCACAATCAAGATATGAAATAGTTCTATGGAACTATCACCCACAAAAATGTCCCCTCCCCTACCCCAAGGCTCTGGGAACTTTTGATCTGTTTTCTGTCCCTATAGTTTTGCCTTTTCTAGAATGTCATATCAATGGAATCATTTGTATGAATCATTTAGTTTGCAGCCTTTTAAGTCTGGCTTCTTTCTCTTACTATCATATATTTGAGGTTCATTAATGTTATTATGTGTATCAGGAGTTCATTTCTTTTTATTACTGAATTATTATTCAATTGTATAGCTATAACATGGTTTGTACATTCTCCAGTTGAGTGACATCTGGGTTGTTTCCAGTTTTGTGTGATTAAAAAGAAAGTCACTCTAAATGTTCATGTACTGATTTTTGTGATAAAATGATTTCCTTTCTCTTGAGTAAATAAGTCAAATGGGGATTACTAGGTTTTATGGAAAGTGTGTTTCTGACTTCATAAGCAACTGCAAAACTGTTTTGCAAAGTGGTTGTACCATTTTGCATTCCTATCATCAATATATGAGTGTTCCAGTTGTTCTGTCTTCTTGTCAAGGCTTTGTATTTTCGGTTTTAAATTTTTTTAAATTTTATTTTAGCCTTTTGAAAAAGTGTGTAGTGGTTTCTAATTATGGTTTTACTTTGCATTTCTGTAATGATTAACGGTGTTTATCATCTTTTCCATGTGTTTATTTACTATCGATATATCTTTGATAAAGTGTCTATTCAACCCTTTTGCCCATTTCTTTTATTGGGTTGTTTATTTTTTTGCTGTTGAGTTTTGAGTTCTTTATGTATTCCGGATATAAGTCCTTTATCAGATATCAGACTTGCAATATTTAATTCCAGTCTATAGTTTGTTTTTTTCATTCTTGTAACATTGTCTTTCAAAGAACAGAGGTTTTTCATTTTGTAAAAGTCCAATTTCTCAAGTTTTTTTCTTTCATGGGTTATGCTTTTGGTGTCATATATAAGAAGTCTTTGCTGACCCTAGGTCTAAAAGATTTTTGGAAGAGAACTTTCTTACAAAAGTTTTGTAGTTTGGGATTTTACATTTAGGTTTATGATCAATTTTAAGTTAATATTTCATATGGTGTGAGGAATGGGTCAAGTTGGAGTTGTTTGTTTGTTTTTGCATATGGTTATCAAGTTGTTCCAGCACCATTTGTTGAAAAGACTATCTTTTCTACATTGAATTGTCTTTACGTGTTTGTTAAAAGTCAATTTGCCATCAATATGTGTGTGGGTCTATTTCTGACTTCTCTATTTTGTTCTATTACTATATATGTCTGTCTTTTTTTTTACCAACACCATACTATTTTAACAAGAGTAGCTTTATAGAAAAATCTTGAAATCAGGTAGTGGAGTCTTTTAGCTTTTTCTTATTTCCTGAAAAAATTTTTGGTAATTCTAGTTTCTTTGCCTTTATATATAAATATTAGAATCACTTTATCTTTTTCTACAAAAAGTCTTGCTGGGATTTTGTTTGGGATTACATTGAAATCTGTACACTAGCTAGGGAGGGGGGAATTGACAGTTTAGCAGTAGTGAGTCTTTTAGTCCCCAGGATATCTCACCATTTAGTAGGTTCTCTTTGATTTCTTTCATCAATGATTTCTAGTTTTCAGCATATAAATCTTGTATGTATTTTGTTATATTTATAGCTATTTCATGTATTTTATGCTATTATAAATAGGACTTTTAAAAATTTTAATTTTTAATTATTCATTGCTAATATATAGAAATATAATTGATTTTTATACATTGAACTTATATCTTGTGACCTTGAGAAACTTGCTGCTTGTTCTAGTAGTTTGTGGATTTGGGGGGATTTTCTACATATACAATCATGTTATCTCTGAATAGGTATTGTTTTATTTTTTATTTTGTAATCTGGATACTTTTTATTTCTTTTCTTGCCTTGTTGCCTGGCTTTTACCTTCAGTATAAATAGGAATGCTGAGAGTGAACATTCTTGCCTTGTTTCCAATCTTAGGGGAAAGCATTCATGCTTTTTACCATTAAGAATGATGTCTGCCAAATGTTTTTATAAGCACCCTTTATCAGATGGAGGAAGTTTCCTTCATTTCCTATTTTGCTGAAAGTTTTCATCCTGAATGGATGGTGAATTTTGTCAAATACTGTGTTTCGCCGAAAATAAGACCTACTCAAAAAATAAACCCTAGCAGGATTTCTAAGCATTTGCGCAATATAAGCCCTACCCTGAAAATAAGACCTAGTGATGGGCGTGGCTACGCAGCAAATCAGCACAACCCATGCATTTCATCGCAGAGCAGTAAAGAAGATGAGCAGCCCTTCTCATCTGCCCCATCGTGACAGCTACTATCCCAGAGGTGACCAGAAAGGTGCGTGCGGGCAGCCCCACCAACAAGGTCGGCTCCCCCGTCAGGTCCCGGCCATCCTGTGCGTGCTGCAAGCTGAGGCTTTGAGGGGAAAATAACACATCCCCTGAAAATAAGCCCTAGGGTGTCTTCTTGAGGAAAAATAAATAAAAGACCCTTGCCTTATTTTCGGGGAAACCCAGTACTTTTCTGCATGAGATGATCCTATAAGGTTTCTTTCTTACTCTGTTGATAGGATGAATTACATAGATTTTTCAAATATTTACCTTGCACTCCTAGGATAAATAACCACTGGTCATAATGTATTACCTTTTTATATATAGTTGGATTTGATTTACTAAAATTTTAAGAATTTTTGCATCTATGTTCATCAGAGCTATTGGTCTGTAGTTTTCTATTTCATAATGTATTTATCTGGTTTTAGTATTATGGGAATGCTGGCCTCATAAAATGAGTTGTGAAGTATTTTCTCCTCTTCACTTTTCTAGAAGAGTTTGTAGAAATGGTATTATTTCTTCCCTTCTCCCTCCCTTCTCCTTCCCCTCCCCCTTCTCCTTCCCATCCCCCTTCCCTTCTCTTTCCCTTCCCCTCCCCTCCTGCTGTTTTTCTTTTCTCTTCTCTTTTTTCTTTTTCATTCCTTTCCTCTTCTCTTCTTTCCTTTTCTTTCCCTTTTCCTTTCCTCTTATTTCCTTTCTTTCCCCTTTCCCTTTCCCCTTTCCCTTTCCCCTTTCTCTTTCCACTTTCCCTTTCCCTTCCCTTTCCATCTTGCTATAGTACAGTGGCATCATAATAGCTCACTGCAACCTCAAACTCCTGGGCTCATGTGTTCCTCCTGCCTCAGCCTCCAGAGTAGCTGGGAATACAGGTTCATGCCACCAAACCTGGCTAATGTTTTGTAGAGATGGGGTTTTGCTATGTTGTTCAGGCTGGTCTTCAACTCATGGCCTCAAGCAATCCTCCCACCTCAGCCTCCCCCAAATGCTAGGATTATAGTCATGAGCCACTGTGCCCAGCTATTTCTTCCTTAAATAGTTAGTAGAATTCAGCAGCCCCAATTCAGCATTTGGGCCTGAAGTTTTCACTGTAGGAAGATTTTAAACTATAAATTTTGTAAATAAATACAGATATATGATTCTTCAAGTTATCTATTTCTTTTTATGTGAGTTTTGGTAGTTTGTATCTTTTTGAGAATTTACCCATCTTATCTAAATTGGTAAATTTATTGAAATAAATTTTCATATGCCATGGGTTATTTAGATGTGCTATGATATTTATAAGTATTTGGAGATTTTCTAGATAATCTTATGTTGTTTATCTCTATCTTTTTAAAAAATTTTATTTTATTTATTTCAAAATAGTAAGGGGGTATAAATGTTTTTGGTTACATGGATCACTTTTGTAATGCTTAAGTCAGGGCTGTAAGTGTGCCCATCACCTAGATAGTGTTCACTGTACCTGTTAGGTAGGTTTTTGCCTATCCTCTCCTTCAACCTCCCCTGTGCTTGATTTCCACTGAGTTTTGCTTACCTCTGCACATGTGTGCTCATCGATTAGTTCTAATTTAATAGCGAGTACACGTGGTGTTTGTTTTTCCATTCTTTAGATACTTCACTTAGGGTAATGGTCTCCAGTTCCATCCAAATTGTTGCAAAAGACATTAATTCATCCTTTCTTATGGCTGAGTAGTACTCCATGGTATACATATACCACATTTTGTTAATCTACTCATGAATTGATGGACATGTGGGTTGATTCCACATCTTTGAGATTGTGAATTGTGCTGCAGTAAACATTCGAGTGAAGGTATCTTTTTGATAAGACCAAAGGACCATTTTCCTTTGGGTAGATGGTCAGTAGTGGGATTGCTGGATCTAATTGTAGGTCTACTTTTAGTTCTTTTAGGAATCTGCATACTGTTTTCC